CAGTCCCTGGGGGGGGGGGGTAGGGAGTGGAAATAAAGCCTTTCAGAAGTACTAGCTCTTCAGACTGAAAACCCCCTTGGCCAATAATAAAGTTGCATCATGGATTCTACCTCCAGTTCACCTGCCTCTTTCCAGACATACTTACTAAAGCAGCAGCTAGTGTTTAGCATGGACAGAAACCATGGGTTGTAAATAACTGCCAGTCATGCAAAGATAAACTAAGTCTTTATTATCATTTCAAGGGGAACAAATTCCTATTGTTCCAAGTGGGCCAAAACCAGTAAATCAGCTACTGCAACTCAAGTGAGGAAACTTGTAATGAACCAATCAGCTGTCACCCAAATGCTAAAATATTCTACTATTTAGAAGTAGAAAGCTTTTAGAAAAGGTCTTAGTCATGCCTAAAGTAGCACTAAACGGGAAAACTAAATTAAAAACTAAAACCCAAGACTCTCTGTGGTCTATTCCTATGCGGTCTAACTACATTTTAAGATAACAATATTCAGAGTCTCTGATCCCTAAATAAACAATATTTCCCAAGTTTTTATCTGAAGCTAATTCTTTGAAAAGAACTTTTTAGTCCTTTACTAATGTATAAATCCACAGAATACTAACAAAGCTGACCCCCGAAAAAGTTATTAAAAGAAAAATTGAACTGCCACTTTTGGATTTGCTTGATCTGAGCTGTTCATTCCACTGCTAATAAACAAGGACAAAAATTACAGTCTAATAATCTCCTCAAGAACACACAAGTATCTTTAATTAAATAGTCAAAAGAAGTTGCAATCTTTTGATCAATACAAATCTTACTACAGATTTAAAATAAAGTAATAGTAAACCTTTAGCTGAGGTTTTTCATCTTTTCCAGAGGTGTCCTCAGATTGCTGATGAACGAGGACAAACTCTTCATTAATTAACGTGGATACGGTTTCAGGAATCCTACTGGCTTTGCTAAGCGATGTTTTGACTTCCATCTCAGGTCAGTATTCTCCTCCTGCCACAAGAACCTAACAAAGAAGTAAAAATATTAAATAATTCGTTTTGAAGCTATAAACAATATGTTAATAGGTATAATATGAAGTTATTGTGGAATAATATACTTAAAGTTATATGAGTTTATTATACTATAGTCCTCAAACTCTGATTTCATTGATATAAGGAATCTTTTTTTAAATAGCAACTATGATTTTTAGGATGTGTGTTTAAAAATCCTATGATGTAACAGCAGCGACTGCTGTCTATGTGTATAGATAACACATGAGAAAGTTCACCTCAGACTTTCCACTTCCCCTGGTTTTAATCTTCCAGAGTCTGCTCCCTCTGCCTGCCCAGCTCCTGCCCTTTGTCCTCCCTCGTACAGGTATATTTCTTACCCAGAGTGTCAGGCAGGTTGTGTGAAGATACAGACTACCTGAAGACTAATTTTCCAGAAACTGTGTATCATGTATATGCTCTCCACATGAAAACATATTTAGCAATAGATTGTCAGAGCTGGTTTTATTATTCTTTGTATCTATAGGTAATGAAGACAAAGGTGATACTAAACCATAATCACATCCTCCTCAGCAAATTTCTCTGAAACCACCTGCAAAGTTAAATTAACCATACCACTTAAAAAATAAAAAAAAAACCCAAAACCAACAGCAAATAACACAACTATAAATATTACGGAAACCAAGAACAAGTTTTCCCTTGTGTGCATAGCAAAAAATAAACCTAGAAACAAACAAACAAAAAAGATTTTCCCTCTCCCTAACCGAACCACAGTTTTACCCATTAACCGAGCAAGGGTATCATACATAGAAATCCCAGAAAAACTAAAGACCTCTTCAGATAACTGACTTGTATAGCCTAAAAACTTGTTAGAAGATTCATGTTACAAAAAAGCCACTAAAGAACAGCTATAATATTCAGAGAGTGATGACAGATTTGGATTAGCAGTTTAGCACCCTGTTGTCCTTCCTGCCTCCAGACTAAGCATGAACTCACAACCATGAGTATTTTTCAGACAGATGACATAATCTGAGCTCCACCCAAGCCTAGGTAATGGTTTCACCACTGGAATAAGTTTTGTTTCAGTTTTTTTAATGCATCTTTGCTTTAAAGATCTTTCTGGCAAAAGAAATCAAAGTTTTAATACACAAGATTTTAAGTATGTTATAAACAGCTTATTAACTCCATGTATTTTTTAACAAACATCGTGTTGTAAAAATGTTACTGAAGAGCTTGTGTATTACTTGCAATAAACAGCAAGTCTAGCTCAAAATTAATATTAATTTCAAAGTAAATTCTCAATATAAAAGTAAAGGTCCACTATTACAGAAGTCTTTGAAGGCAATAAAAGAACATAAAATTACGGTCCCCAAACACAGCATATATCCTGAGTAATCATTAGCTCTGTAGTTAGACCACCATTGGAGAAAATGGCAGAGGATGCCCGTCAGTCACACCAGGAGCCAAGATCTAGTCTACCAGAAGCCTGCCCCTCTGCCACCCCATACCCTACTGCTGGACTTACTGAAGATGACAAAGATGAAGCCTCACCACTACTTCTAGCACATTTGCAGAAAGGAGGGATCACAAGATGTGCTATTTTGACACTTCTTTGTGGTTTAGTCTATTTCAGTTTATTTTTTGTGCTTACTTACGGGAGAATAACACAGGAACTCCAATATAAGAAGGTTCTACTATATTAATTATCAAAAGACAAATGCAAGCAGCTAACACGAGCATATCACCAGTTCTTCTTTCTGCAGCAAAATAAGAACTGACAAGCACACTATGAACTAGAAAAAGGTTTTTGTAGCAAGGTTGTAATAATAAAACCAGGGAAAACGTAACATTTGTAAAGCCAAAGAAAATTATGATAATGCAACTAAAGAAGCATACTGATGTACAAAATATTTATTCTTGCCCTATGTGGATAAAGGTAGCTTAAACAGAATTCCTACTTCCTAAATTTCCATCTGAAAGACAAAGGAAGTATTATAAACATCAGACGACTGCAAGGAGCTTCTCATTCAGATCAGATACTTAAAAGCATACCATACACATTCTCGCAATTACATTTGAGTTGCAAGGCCTTTAATGTCCTTAAGAGTGTACTCCAAGCTCGTCTTTACAATCAGCTTAAACCACCACATCCCGCGCAGACACATACCTTTTTCCACACACAACTATGTTAGCCGAATAAATTACCACCCTCGAACCCCTAATTCCAGCCTCTCCTCATACCCTGCTCCAACCTGCCACCAGTGTCATTCACACGAACGCCCTCTACCCCACTGCAGTCAAAACACGGCCTCGTTCGTTTCAGTTAAGTAGTAAAACACGAACAGAAACAGGTCAGACATTCAGGAAGTGAATGCCTCAACCAGAAGAAAGCGGTTCTACGCTCTACCTCACACGCGTATAGTTACAAGAACAAATCTATAAACCGCTCAGGTCTTCTGCTAAGACAATCTCTTGATATCCGTGCTAGAGAACTTACCATACAACAAATTAATAGCAGTGTTCTAGACTGTTCGTGGACAATGCATGTACTAAAAAGGAAAATCTCAGAGTGAATAGACTGTTCATTTCTTCCCCCATTCTAGGCACACGCTATTTAGAAAGCAAAAGCTTTATACACAATATTTTATGATCAGTCTTTCATCAAAAATAGCTTTTAATGGCAAAGTAACAAAAATCACGATCAAGTAATTTTTCAAATTAAACAACTTGAGTAAAGTTCATGTCAGAGTTTAAGAATATAACTGTGAGTCTCATGAAGATTATCGAGATTTACATCATCTTAAGTAGTAAGCTACTTAGAGAGAAAAAGTTTCTGGTTTTACGTTATAAAGGTATATGATCTACTACTTTAGCTAAGCACTTCTGAGGAAAAGTAGTAAAAAGAAAAATCTGAAAGAATCACGCATTAAGGTTAGTTGGGGACGG